AATTTGAGGGATTTTCTTGAAGAATCATGATCAACCCTTGATAAAATAATAAATATTACTTCAAAATGTCGATGTTGACCAGAAATCTTGATGTTTGACTGTATGTTGACCACATATGACCTTTTACCTATTTTACCCCAAAATTTGCCCTCTCATTTCTCAAGGCATTTCCTTACAAGGATTTTCAAAAGTTCAAATTTGTACAAGTACAAGTGGGCTTTCAAGCATCAAATTAAAGAATAACATGCCTCCTTAGATTTCACATCCTTCGATTAGGTTTTTTGGCCTCTATCGATGCAAGCTTGGCTTACATCCTTCGATTGAGCATTGACCCCTGACGTGCTTGCTTTGATTCACAAAACAATGGCTATCTGCATGCAGTCTTCGATTGAGCAATTAACTCCTTCCTGCATGCTTCGATCCATAAAGAAAGGGGCTCCCACCATGCTAGCGTACACATGGAAAAAGCCTCATGTAGCCTCCTTCGATTCAAAGGCGAAGAGCCTCCTGTTAGTGTCCTTCGATTCAGAAGTTGGCGGCTTCCTACTGGCCTCCTTCAATTCAGAAGACAAGTGCCTTCTATACTTTTGCCTCCAATTCACAAGGCATGAACTTCCTTCATGCCAGCAGACACAAGACAATGGATTCCTGAAGATTTCCTTCGACTCAGAAGCCAATGGTCTTGCATGTGTGCCAAATTCACAAGGCATAAATTTCCCTTCATGCTAGCGCCCACAAAGAAAGGGACTTCCTGCATACAAGCTTGATTCCTATTTCGATTGGGGCATTTGATTTATTTTGAGCAAACTTGACGCCTGCTTCGACTGGGTAGTATATCCCTTGGAAAGTTTGTTTTGACACGCATAGTCTCTACATTATGACATGCCTGGGTGTCCCAATCGAAGGTTATACCTTGGTGGCTCATCTGAAGAATTGTAAGTGATGCACACAAATGATGCATGTGGTTCCTTCAAAAGAACACATACATGTTCCGAATCGAAGGACACCCATTTGGGCCCCTTCAAAGAATACACATATGAGTCATTCGAAGGATACTTTGATTTGGAAAGAAATGTTGTTGTTTGAAAAAGAGTCTGGTCGAAGAATATGGCTAGTGGGTCAAAACAAAAGGTTGAGATATCCAAAGATGCTTGCTGGCCAGAGTCCTATGTGCTGTCAAGTCCAAGCCTGCTACACTGGCCACCACACTCCAAAACTGCTGCACAGCAGTCCTGCTATGTTGCTCTTATTTTTGCACCAATTTGGCATACAAAAACTTCACCTCAAAGGCTACAAAAACAACATACCCAATTTGTTAAAATCTCTTTTGTTTTCCCTCTCAAATATCAATCAACTTCATATATAAATAAGATGTTCCACAACACATCTTAGGGGTCGCTGGTAGCTGAAAAAACTCTTGTTGTGAAAAAAATTATCAAATTCTCAAAACTCTCAAACACTCTTAAACATCTCAAACATTCTCAAACATTCAAATTCTAAAACTCCCAGGTCCTTTCATGCATTAGTGAATCCTTCGATTCACTCCCCAACTTCCAGATAACTAACCTTCGATTCATTCCCTAACTACCACCTAATAGTCTTTTGATTCACTCCCTAGACTGTTATATAATAACCTTCGATTCACTCACCACTATCACACACCCTCCTTCGATTCAGTGACTGCCCAAAAAAATCAGCAATTGAACTAGCTTCAGGAAGGTTCCAACGAAGATACATCCATCACCAAGGAAGTCACTCACAACTCCTTCGATTAGCACTTCAAGAGGTAAATTTCCTCTAAACTTGGAACTTTTCATTTAAATAATATTTGTACATATAAATAAAAGGAAAATGTAGATATCCCATCTAGGAAGTTGACCATGCTCTAACTTTCGATCCTCACTGCCTGTATGTTGAAAATCTCAACCCTGACTAGTTAGACTTTGGATTTTGGTGCCCAATAATCTTGTGCTAACCCTTGGCTTGTAGCTTTCGAAAGTTACACTTGTTAGTTTCATTTTCAAGTTTAGACAGGTTTTTTGTATCCTTCGATTGACTAAACATTGAAAGCCTTTTGAATCTCAACTTGGGAGCTTTGCATTCCTGCAACCGAAGGAAGTAGCAAGGAGGTTGAAACGAAGAGTGTACATTCATGCTGACTTCCAGGACAATCGAAAGAAGCAGAAAAAGGACATAATCGAAGGACATGCTAATACTGATTCCCAACCCCAATCAAAAGAAGCAAAAGAAGAGTGAATCGAAGGAGCGTATTGCCTGGATCGAAAGACTCACTTTATCTCTCTTTTTATGTTATTTATGCTTGTCTTTATATTTTCTTGCTATTCAATATGGTTGTAATAGTGTAGGATATTTATTTTCTGCATTTTTATTGCTTTATACAAATGTTAGTAATTAGGATGTATGACAAGATAAAACCAACAAGTAGACAATCGTAATCAAGGACTAAATGCATGCAATCAAACACACTTTGCACACGTGCACCTCTAGGGAGTCTCACTTGTTGCCTCGGAAAATAGTCATGTCCCTCGAATATGGGCGTTTTAGCAAAGACCCTCAATAAAAGATCGTAGTCCCTCGATGACCCTCTGATGTTGCCTTCGGTAAACGATCTAGTCCCTAACGAAATTGCTAAAGCATCCCATAAATTGCCTTCTATGACTATACAAATGACCCACGCCCGTCCATTCATATCCAACGATGGGGATTCTTATCAATCAATGGTAAGATAGCAACATCTAAAGGAGGAGGAAAAGAACAAAGACTTTTTGAGTAGGTAGGATGCTCGTAGTTGCTTGCTTGCTCATAACTAAAAAAACATTTTTCACACCAACACTTTCAATTGAAATATTTTTAAAAGTTAAAACTCTTTGTATGCATTCTTATAGAGACGAGAATCATTACAAATGCACTTTTCAAAATCACTTTCAAAAAACATCTTCCACAAACACTTCGTTGAACTATTTTCAAAACTAACACTTTATACAAATCCTTATAGAGACGGGAATCATTACAAAGACGTTTTTTTCAAAATATTTTCAAAAACTCACAGGAAAGACGAATAAAAAACGACAATAGATTTGTAATATATGAATTGTTTGATTAGAGGTTATTTATAGGATAGAAGAAGAAATGATAGAAACACATGTATAATCACATATATTTGAATTCATTTGCATTTGTGGTTGAATTTGAAAGGTTGGACATCGTAAGTACCAATAATTTAAATAGACATATTGAATATTTATTGATTTTAGATCTTATAAATATCAAACGTGAAAAACAAAAAATGAAGTGTTTAAAAATCAAAAAGAATAATTTTGACTATTCCAAAACATTACTAATTTCTTGTATGATAGATAATTTACCCTTATTTTATCATTGTGTGCGCCTACACCCAACACTTAAAAAAAAATTAGAGTGTTCTAATTCAAAAAATAAATTGCATGTGAATGATGAATGAAGCTTTTAATGCTCTTTGTGTGCTTCCGTTATAGTTCGTTCATCCATGCTGAAAATAAAACATCAATAATGTTGGCATCTAACTAGAATCCATATTCGTGTCCAACTAAGCAAAAAAAATAGACAGTTGACCCCAAATGTCAACTTTCGTAGTAAATGTTAACTAGAGAAACCATTAGTGTCAACAGAAAATTTTATAAATACCAAATCTCAAAAGAGGTAGTTTGAAAAGATTAAACAAAATTTGATATAATTTAGATATCACAAACATATACATCAATATTAATTTATATTTAATAATCATCGTTCTTTCACTCATTTATTATTATTATTATTATTTATTTAATATAGTATAATTAAATAAAATAAACATTATAAGATTTTTTTTTTATAAAGAAGCAAATATTATAAGAAATGTAACTAACTATAGTCATCAATTTCAATTTGAAGAAACCTAAGCCACTCGTATACTAGTAGGAATTGACAATGACATAATCTACGGACCACTTCGAGGACAATGTTCGTGGCCTATTAATTTATATTAATTTAAACTAATAGTTTGTTCATTTGTTATAATATATCATAATCGTAATATATACTTAAAAAAAGTTCAAACATATGCATTATTTTTTATGTAAATTCCATTCCATGAAAGAAAACACAACGTAGCCACTTGCGTAATTGAACATAAAATAATAAAATCACAATACAACGTATCCACTCAACTACATACTTTTATAAAATCATGTGTCACTTGTCCTCATTAGAAATAATTAACTTGCATAACTTTATTTGATTTCATACTTTTCAAAAGGAAATTAATCTCTCACATAATGCACGTTTTTTATGCTTCCATATTCTATCCTATGGTCCTACTTATTTTTCTTCATTTAACTTCCACCATATCGACCTCATCCCCATCTGTCCACCTATTTTTGTACTTTACCATTAATTTTATTATTGTGCTAAAATCCAACTCTCAAAATTTCTCTCACACACACAAATGGGTCTTATAGTATTTTAATTAACTTATATCATAGCACACAATTTAAGACAAGATTTTTAATTTGTTATAAAATCTTACATTCACACAGTCGACTTTGAAAAACCCTTCGATTAAAATCAAGCATTATAAAAATATAGAACGTTTGATTGAGACCAACCTGTAGCTGTAGCTGAGTAAGAGAAATTATAAAATCTTGACAAATTAAGAGTTTTATTTATTTATTTTGGTCTTTCACTAATTATGAGTTTTAATTTTTGTCTTTTTATTTTTTCATATAAATTATCTCAACTTCAAAAAAAATTTAGACCAGAGTCCGAACAAGTGTCCAACTTGATTGAGTTTTGGATCTGTCTATAAAATCAACGATCGAGAATATCAATCGTTAAATGTGTAGAATAAATATTATTCTCCACTATATATTGATTGATACACGATGGATATTTAGTATATCAACCTTAGAAACCAAATCCACAAAACAAAACAACCTAGTGGTAATCAACACTAGCTATTAGCAATGTTGAAAAGCCAAACAGAATGGCCTGAGCCAATAATCAGAGTTCAATCTTTATCTGAAGGATGCAAAGATTCAATTCCTGATAGGTATATCAAGGCTCCAACTGATAGGCCATTTGTAAACTCTTCTTCTTCTCATGATGATGATATTAATATTCCTATAATCGACCTTGGAGGTTTATATGGTGACGATTTCGATGTTCGAGCTTCGATAATGAAGCAAATTTCCGATGCTTGTCGCGACTGGGGTTTCTTCCAAATCATAAACCATGGAGTGAGTCCTGATTTGATGGATAAAGCTAGAGAAACATGGCGCGAATTCTTTCACATGCCTATGGAGGTTAAACAACTATATGCAAACTCTCCAACAACTTATGAAGGGTATGGAAGTAGACTTGGTGTTGAGAAAGGTGCTATTCTTGATTGGAGTGATTACTACTTTATGCACTATCTTCCTTTTGCACTTAAGGATTACAACAAATGGCCTTCTTCTCCTTCATCTTGCAGGTAATTTATTTATCTTCCATTGAAAACCGCTCCGTCTGAGTTTTTACAATTCTAGACAATCAAGTCTGTTTAGATGTGAAAACTCAGACGGAAACGTCTTGTTTAGTATAATTGTAATTATTTTGAACAATATGAGCAGGGAAGTGTTTGATGAGTATGGTAAAGAATTAGTGAAACTAAGTGGGAGATTAATGAAGATTTTATCGAAAAACCTTGGATTAGAAGAAAAAGAAGTTGAGAATGCATTTGGGGGAGAAGAGATAGGAGCATGCATGAGAGTGAATTTTTATCCAAAATGTCCAAGGCCAGAATTGACATTAGGATTATCATCACACTCAGACCCGGGAGGGATGACTATGTTGCTACCTGATGATCAAGTGGCAGGTCTTCAAGTTCGAAAATTTGATAATTGGATTACAGTCAATCCTGCTAAACATGCCTTCATCGTCAACATTGGTGACCAAATACAGGTCAAAATTTTATGTTTTAAAATTACTTTTTTTTCTTTCCTTTTTTAAATTATCCTAGCTATTTTACTTGGCCAGTATTCCTGATGATTTAATATACTAATCTGACCACGTGGAGAGACACATGCATTTTATTAATATATATATATGCCTTTTAAGTTATACGATGCTTTTGGAAATTGAGAAAATTTAATTATTTGTGTTATAAGATCAATTCTTTGTTAAAATTCCTAAATAAATATTTATAAATGGACAATCATTCTCTTACAAGACAATTTTACAAGATTGAGTTAAATTCAATCATAAATTTGAATTTTTTTTAATATTATTATCTTAAAGGTAAAATTTATTTTAAAATAACTCAGTGAAGAATACATAAAATTTTATCAAAAAATTAGAATAATCTAGTTTTCATTTTTTTTAATATAATTAATTGCATGGCTATAACTCCTATAAAATAAACAATTTACTTTAGAAAGTAAAATATGTACTCTTTTTTTATTTTACTAGTATTAACCTAGTTAATTTAAATACTAGAGGGCCAAATCCTTGATAAACTATTCAATTTAGATAAATTAAATCCTTAACTTTTTTTCTATTGACTTAAGTTAACATGACTATTTAATTAAGAGGAGTATTAATTAAGAGGAGTATCAATGAATCTTTCTTTTTAACACTCTCAAACACTTACTCGAGTTAAATGAATTATATGTGAATCTCTTTGAAAATAAATTCTAAGTAAGGTGGTAAGATTTACTACGTGTTTATTTAATAAATTAGAGTGAGTGAGAAAAAATATTGAAAAAACACAAGGTAACAAACATAAAGGAGATAGATGAATTAGAGATTGTTAGAAGACAATTACAGTGAAGAGAAAATTTAATTAAATGTCCTAGAAGGGGGAGTGTGACGATGAGACTTCAAGTCCTATTAGTTTGTTGGAATAACTTGTCACACAAGGTAACAAACATAAAGGAGATAGATGAATTAGAGATTGTTAAAAGACAATTAGAGTTAATAAAAAATTTATTATTTAATTAATCAATTCGGTTGTTCTTACCAACATATGTTAAATCATTTATATATGATTATACATCTAACTACTTTCTCTGTTTTAAATTATAATTTTTTTTTACCTAAATTATAAAAAAATTTATAATTCAATGCATTATTAATGATATTTTTTATTATAATTTTTTTTCTACTCTTGAAAGATTAAAATTATAAATAATATTTATTTTTCATACGATTATTTAATATGAAAAATTCAAAATTTCTTATAATTTAAGAAGAAGAGTAATTAATTTTAAAATAATAATTACATACATAATTAATAATAATACGTATGAAATAATTATAATTAATTAATTATCTTCTAAATTACATAAACGATTTAAGTGACTTTATACTGGTAAAGTTACTGTAACTTTAGTGTGATTTATTTTAATTATTATTGTAAACAATATTTTACAAATAACATTTTAATAAAAGAAATAGTAAATTAGAGAAAAAAGATAAAAGTTCATTGACTTTGCTGCCACAAATTCACCTAAACCTTTCCATAAATTACTTTCAAACAATAAAATTTAGTAATTACAACACAATGTTTCTCACACCCAACCAAACAATGGATTAGGTTTAAGTGACTTTAATTCACCATAATTTTGGTGACTTTAGTCACTTTTATAAATGGATGTGCATGGTTACCATATTTTAATAATCAATCCATTTTAATGGTTGTAGTTTTAAAATTAAATCATTTTTTTATAATAATCAATTTAAAATTGCAAAATAGTTTTAATTTGGTTCAAAATCGATTTAAACCGATTTTCAATCAAAATTGATTTATAAGAAAATTGTATCTTTTTTAATTTGAAAAGACGAAAAAAATTCAGGTTAATGAAGGGAACAAAATGCAAAGGCATGTGTCATTTTTATACTATTATATTCAAACACCAGCACAAATCGTTTTTCACAATTTTTTTGAAAAGCAAAAAAGTAAAATTCAATTTAAGAGTAAAAATATTACACTTTAATCTATGATAAAGTTGCACTAAAACACTAAAACTAGAACCCAAAAAAACTAAAACAAAACATTCTAAAACCAAGACAAAATCTGCTTCAAAACAATTGCTACATTATAACAGTTAAACAAAAAAACAGAGATTAACAATCGTTCATCACAATTAACTTAATAAATTTTTCTTCCCTTAACTAATCACCGCTCTAATTAACTAATTAATAATAAATAAAATAAAATATATAAACTAGTTTGCCATTTTTAATTTAAATATTATATAAATTGGTTTATACGAATTTGAATTTCCTGTGCCTTAATAATATTTTATTCATTAACAATAATATCATATACATTTGGTTTTATGTATGACAACTGGTTATAAAAAATGGAAACTAAATTTTTGTTTTGATATCAAAATGGATCTGAAGCGGTTCACATCCAACACAAATTGAATTATAAAAATTGATGTACTGAATTTTTAAAATTGATTAGTGTAAACCAGTTTTTTTTGAACACCCCTACTTTTATGCAATAATAATAATTAATATTTTTAAAGTAAAAAATATAACCAAAGCTATCAAAGTCACCCAACAGTAACGTCAAACAACCAAGTTGTAGAATCAAAGACAGTGAATCCTTAATTACATATCCTACTTAATTCTTTTAAGTTATATGTAATCTTTTATTGGATTGTAGAATAACTAAAAAATGGTTAATTTGTTTGTTTATAATTTGACAAACAGGTTCTAAGCAATGCAATATACAAGAGTGTGGAGCACAGAGTGATTGTGAATTCAGATCAAGAAAGAGTTTCTCTTGCTTTCTTCTATAACCCAAAAAGTGATATACCCATTGAGCCATTAAAACAGCTTCTAACTCCTGAAACACCTGCACTCTATCCACCAATGACCTTTGATGAATACAGACTCTTCATTAGAATGAATGGACCTCGTGGCAAATCTCAAGTTGAATCCATGAAATCTCCCAGATAATAATTTAATAATCATCATGGTCAAACACATTTCTATATATTATTCATAAAACTGCACATTAATTAATAAGCTATATAGTAAAAAAATCTATACAAGTTTTCATCTTAGGCTTGAAATAATAGCCACTAAAGTTTGAATGGTTTCCACAAGATTGTTTCTTTCATAGCTAGGTGACTATTATAATTTGCCTTTGTCTCCAACTTCCCAACAGAGGATTGTGGCAGTGATGAAATATACCATATTTTTCATTGTGTTGTACTATGAAAGTAATTATTGAATTCCACTCTTTTCCTTTCCCACTTGTTTTTTGTTCTAAAGAATTCAAGTGTCATTTGTATTTATTGTAAGATCGCACTAGTGTATGTATATGCACGTGATCGTACTCTTGTTCTCTTCTAAGTAATCAAAATATAAGCTTACAAGGATGGCTATAAGGTCCTGAGTGAAGTAATCAATAACAATTAAAAACAAAAACAAATACTGTAAATCATAAAAGTAAAGTTTTTTTTTTTTTTTAAAAGGAGAATGTTACAATGAGATTTTTTAAGAAGAATTTGATATTTGAGAATGATATTTTATATTTAAATTTGTCAAATTACTGTAGTGTAATCATACTAATTGCTATTTGATTAATTCTTGTTATGTAGTTATTTGAGTTTTTTAGTTTGCATTTGGGTCTGTCCTATTTTGCCTATATAAAGGACCATTGTGTTTGTAATAGTAAGAAAGCAACAATAATAACTGAATTCAGTTTAGAGTTAGTTACACTTAACTAACTCAACTCTCTCTCTCTCTCTCTCTCTCTCTCTCTCTCTCTCTCTCTCTCTCTCTCTCTCTCTCTCTCTCTCTCTCTCTCTCTCTCTCTCTCTCTCTCTCTTCTTCTTGTTTTTCACAATATTCATCTTTCTTGAATCCTTTGTTCCAACAAATTGGTATCAAGAGCTTGTTTGCGATTCAAAGAGAATCTAATAGAAAATGGATCAACAACATCAACACAGTTTCCAGCGAATCCATCGGTTTTCAAAGGTGAAAACTATCAACGATGGGTGGCACAAATGAAGGTTATTTTCAGATTTCAAGATGTTGTAGAAATCTTGAATGATGGAATATCACAACTGGAAGTGAATGCTACGGAAGCCCAGACAGCTGCGCACAAAGATCAGATGAAGAAAGATGGCAAGGTGCTGTTCTTGATTCACCAGTGTGAGAATTGTGATGTATTTGAGAAGATAATCGAAGAAGAAACAACAAAAGGAGTTTGGAAAAAACTGAAATCCTTGTATGGTGGAAATGAGAAACTGCAGAAGGTGAAGTTGCAGACTTTGAGGAAGCAGTATGAGATGCTTCAGATGAAAGAGGATGAATCTATTTCTATATATTTCTCAAGAGTTGTAGCGCTAATAAACCAGAAGAAGGCGTGTGGTGAAGCGCTAACGGACCTGCAGAAGATAGAAAAGGTATTGAGATCTTTAATTGCAGACTTTGATTTCTTTGTTGTAATAATTGAAGAGGCCAATAATCTATCTAAGATGAATTTGGAAGAACTTCAAGCTTCTTTGGAGGCTCATGAAATGAGGCTGCATGAAAGAAACTCAGAAAGGGAGAAAGCAGCTGAACAAGCATTGCTATCAAGATTCAGCAAGAAAGCTGGAAAAGAGAAATCGAAGTAGCGAAAGAGTCTTGTTGGTGATGAGAAGTCAAGCAAGAATACTTATTCGAAAGGAGTGGGAAACAAGTATTATGGAAAGAAAGTTAACACGAAATAGGTGCAATGTTACAATTGTCAAGGTTTTGGCCACTATGCTAGAGACTGTCGAAGAAAGAAAGCTGCAAAGTCAAAAGATAGTGATGAAGCTCAATATGCACGGGCTGGAAGTAGTGATTTTGATGATGTGTTGTTGGTGGTGATCACTCAATCGAACACTAAGAAAAAAAACATGTGGTATCTCGATTCCGGATGTAGCAACCACATGACTGGCAATAAAAACTAGTTTACCAAGTTAGATGAGTCAATAAAAAAGGTGATGAAGTTTGCAGATGAAAGGCATATCAAATCAGGTGGTAAAGGAGATATTTCGATTATCAGGAAGGATGGTCGAAAGGATACTATCACTGAAGTTCTATATGTACCTTTGATGACAAGTAACTTGATAAGTGTAGGTCAATTACTTGCAAAAGGCTTCAATATGAAGTTGGAGAATAATCAGATGAAGGTATATGGGCTGATGGGAGGCTAATAATGAAAGCACCATTGGCGGAGAACAAAATGTTCATGGTTGAACTCAACACATCAGATCACAAATGTAGTGCTTCGACTATAGAAGAAGATAAGAACTGGCTATGGCATCACAGGTATAGACATCTAAAATTCAAGAGTTTATGTATGCTCAATAAGAAAAGAATGGTGCTTGGGTTGTCGTATGTGAAGGAACCAAAACAGATATGTGAGGAATGCTGCAAAGCTAAACAGGAAAGGAAGACATTCAAACGTGACTTGCCTATAAGATCAAGGCAAAAACTGGAGCTGGTTCATTCAGATGTGTGCGGATCCATTAAAGTAAAGTCCAATGGAGGTAACATGTATTTCCTTACTTTCATTGATGAATTCACCAGACATATGTGGATTTACCTTATTGAAAGGAATAGTGTGGTATTCACACAGTTCAAGAAGTTCAAGTTGCATGCTGAGAAACAAAGTGGCTGTAAATTGAAGAAGTTAATAACTGATGGTGGTGGTGAATATACTTCTGCTGAATTTTCCAGATTTTGCAATGAGGAAGGTATATAGCATGAGGTTGTTACACCCTATACGCCTCAGCATAATGTGTAGCTGAGAGAAAGAATAGAAATGTACTGAATATGACGAGATGTATGTTAAAAGCTAAGAATATGCCTAAGAGATTTTGGGCTGAAGCAGCTTCGACAGCAGTATACTTTCTAAATAGATGCCCAACGAAGAAAATGGTCGAAAAGACACCACATGTGGCTTGGACAGGGTCGAAGCCAAATGTAAGTTATCTTAGAATTTTTGGATCAATGTGTTTCAGGCATGTACTTGAACAATTGAGAAAGAAGATGGGTGATCGAAGTGAAGTCATGGTGCTCATAAGTTATCATTCGACTGGTGCATACAAGTTGTATTCACCAATTAAAGATAAACTAGTGATCAACATAGATGTTCTTGTAGACGAAAGAAAAAGGTGGGATTGGAGTCGAAGTTCAGTTCGACAAGAATCAGACACAGTCACAACTGTGTTCGAAGAAGATGAAAATAACGAAGCTTCGAAAAGTCAAAATGAACAAGGTGATACTTCGACTGACCAAAATGAAGAACCGCCTGTGCAGAATGAAAGAAGATCCACAAGAATAAGAACTGAGTCGACTAGGTTGATTGGATATGAGAGGTTTCCAGATCAAGCAATCAATGTTGATGGTGACTTAACCGAAGAAGCCATGATGATGGCTGAAGCAGAACCGGTTGACTTGGGTGAAGCCTTGAGCAATTTGTATTGGTGTGAAGCCATGAAAGAAGAACTTAGATCCATTGAGAAGAACAACACTTGGGAGCTTGTCGAAAGAACCAACAAGAAACCAATTGATGTGAAATGGATCTACAAGGTGAAACAAAGGCCAAATGGTGAGATTTCAAAGTACAAGGAAAGACTGGTGGCCAGAGGTTTTCTACAACAACCAGGTATTGACTTCGGTGAAGTATATGCACATGTTGCTAGGATCGAAACAATCCGGATTTTTGTTTCGATAGCAGCATGTAGAGGATGGAAAATGCACCAACTTGATGTGAAGTTATCATTTTTGAATGGTCCATTGGAAGAAGAAGTCTACGTTACTCAACCACCAGGTTTCGACGTCAAAGGGATGGAGTCAAAAGTTTACAGATTAAGGAAGGCTCTCTATGGCTTGAAGCAAGCTCCTAGAGCTTGGAATAAAAGGATAGATAGTTTCCTAATCGAAGAAGGTTTCACAAAGTGTGTCTATGAACATGGAGTTTATGTTGATGGCTTACTCATTACAGGAGCAAACGAAGCTGAGATAATGAAGGTAAAGTCGAAGTTAATGCAGGAATTCAAAATGTATGATTTAGGGAATCTCTCCTATTTCCTGGGAATGGAATTCAAAGACGTCGAAGAAGGAGTGTTCTTGCATCAAACGAAGTATGCTCAAGATATATTGAAGAGGTTTAATATGAGCAACTGTAAGGCATCTGTTACTCCATTAGAGACTGGAGCAAAGCTAAAAAAGGAATCGAATGATGAGTTTGTAAGTTTGACTCTTTACAAACAAATCATTGGATCCTTGAGGTATCTTTGCAATACTAGACCAAATATCCGCCAAAGTGTAGGATTGTTGAGCAGATTTATGGAGAAGCCTCAAGAATGTCATCTCATTGCAGTAAAGAGGGTGCTGAGATACATAAAAGGAACTATTGATTATGGTGTGTTGTTACCAAAGAATTCGAAGAACAACACAGATGTCGAAGTTCATGGGTACACTGAATTAGACTTCAGTGGAGATCAAGATGAAAAGAAGAGTATTGTAGGATATATTTTCATCATCGAAGGAGCTCCAATCTCCTGGAGTTCGAGGAAGCAAAGCATTATGGCTTTGTCATCATGTGAAGCAGAATATATGGCTACATCATATGCTGCATGCCAAGCAGCATGGATCGAAATGCTACTTGAAGAACTCAGAATAATGGAATTGAAGATGAAGCTGTTTTTTGATAACAAGTCAGTTATAAACCTTGCAAATCACCCAATGTTTCATGGTTGAAGTAAGCACATTGAACAAAGGTATCATTTTCTGAGAGATCAAGTCAACAAAGGGAAGCTTGAAATAAAACATTGCAAGACAGAAGTGCAACTAGCTGACATATTCACCAAACCTCTGAAGAAAGTGAAACTCGAAGAGTTAAAGAAAGACATCGGGATGAGAAGTCTTGATAACATGAATTAAGGGGTGTGTTAGTTGGTTAATTCTTG